GCGATTTCTTAGGTCCATATCCAGGTTCAAAGCGAAGAAACCAGTTTTTGTTTATAGTGCTAGACCATTTTTCCAAATACGTATTTTTGAAGGCGATGCAAAACGCGACGTCGGCAAACGTAATTAGCTTCTTTAGTACAGAGATTTTTCCAGCTTTCGGGGTCCCTGAATTCGTGGTTCGGGAAGCAATTCATTTCGAAGGAGATGCAGCAGTTTTTTGAAAACTATAGGGTTGTTCACATTAAGACGGGGTTATACTCACCGCAGGCTAACGCCTCTGAACGCGTGAACAGAGAGATTGTTTCGAAAGTTAAAATATTCCTGAAAGACAAACAAGATCACATGGACTGGGACAAACATATTCCCGAAATTCTGTCGGTTTAAGAAGCGATTACCATACGTCGATTCTGAGCTCGCCATACTTCGCGTTATTTGGACAAAATATGATACAACATGCGTCAGCCTATAGCATACTGGAGAAACTGGGTAGCCTAAGACAAGACGAAGTCCCGATTACAAGCAGAGCTGACAAGCTAGCAAACATTCGCGAACATATACGAAAGAACCTTGAGCTAGCGCAAGACAGAGCAGCGAACACGTACAACAAACGTACGCGAGTTGTGAATTACCGGGAAGGACAAGAAGTATTCCGGAAAAACTTCGCTCTTAGCAATTTTAAGCAAGGCATAAATGCTAAATTCTTGCCTAAATATATCAAGTGTCGCGTTCTGCGAAGGGTAGGCAATGCTTTGTACGTTTAGAGGACTTGAATGGCAAACCGATCGGGAGGTTCCATGCATCTGACATCCGGCCGTGACACTGTCATCTGTCACGAAGTGCGATCCGAAGTAAAGCATTTTTTTTTTTCAAAATTTAATAATCACGTTTTTTCTCAAATTTATATATATACACTTTTTTTGCAATATTAAACTTAGCGATAGGGTAAAACCTTGACCGCCCGCAGACTGCCCGGGGTCCAACTCTGCATGGCTTTTCCTCGAAGCTAAGTCAGGTAGGGCTGTAACTCGCTTCTGTAACTCTTCCCTACCGATCATTTCTGTGCTGGTAGAGAATATACGTCATTCATTACTACTCCTTAGCAGTAAAGAACAAGGCGAGAATTCAGATATAAATTCGCCCTGGTAGAGAATTGAGACAGAGACGAGCTACTGGACTAGCCGAGGGGCCGGACTGTGAAAACCGACTAAGTTCGGCAATTGGGGGGTGGCTAACTCTAGCCAACGAATGTGAATAGAGCATCTTTTTTTTTCTCGTACTGTCCTTTTCACTGGGCGCTTTGGCGGTCGGGGACAAACCGCCCAGTATCGTCCCCGAGCATCTATATTCATAGGACGTTCACGCGCGCTCCCACCGGGAGTCGTGAACTGCCTGACAATCCGCACTCCCATTAGGATTGTCTTTTAGGAGTTTTGACGAGTTCTCCTTATCAAAATGTCTAATGCCTTTCGGAGTTTTGACGAGTTCTCCTTATCAAAATGTCTAATGCCTTTTGGAGTTTTGACGAGTTCTCCCTTAAGGAAACAAAATAAATATATACACGTTTTTCCCAGCCGCCGGACGGCTATAAACTCGCGGCCAAGATTCATTTTCAGGACAGCCTGCCCTGTGTTCTTCTTAGCGGTGTTGAACTAGTGGGGGGCAGGGTTTAAAGACCGATTAAGTTCGGCACTTTAGGGGGTAGGCTTCTCTGGCCTAAAACAATAGAGAACCACCGCAACACCGGACTTGAATTTTTCCCCAGAGATTACTCGGTATAATTCTGACTCAAGCATTTCGAAAAGAGAGCTAATTCAACCCACACTTAGTTACGCAGCCGGGATTGAGTTTCCGAGTCGAATACGCCAGGCAAACTCTGGTATAACTTTTATTTTTTCTTCACTACCAGAATTACAAAAACCATCCTGACTTACTGAAACCCCAGATTGAACCTCTTAAAACATTAAACTAATTGTTTTATGAATACAAGAATTACAGGAACCCGACTCAGTATTAACTAAATCAGTAGACTTATAGTTCCGGAGGCTGACTATACAGATCTGATCCACCCAGCATTACAGGCGAATACTGACGCGGAAAGTAGTACCGGCGTTACCTTCAGCAGTCCAGTATCATAGAACTAAACTTACTAGTCTCCCAATACTGAGTCGGACGAACCCTAACTGCCACCTGACGTAACTACGGGATGTTATTTTTTTTGCACACTTTTTTTTGAGACTATATCTCAGGGGTGAGTCGTGCCCCACGTTCTTCTGATTTTACCACCTAACTCTCTTGCGGACGCCTTGCGAAGACAGTTAACCCTTTTTCCTGTTCGCTTCTGTCACGAGTCGTGAAGTGAAGCAGGTTTGTTATGGGTTACTGTTCGCCGCACAAAATATAAATACTTTATTCTTCGGCGTATAGCGCACCCGGTAGCGTGCCATAAATTTCACCAGTTAATAATTTTTCCAGAGCGTAAGGCAACACCAAAACTGAATGGAAGG